TAGAAATAATCAATTTAATATAGAATTAACGTAGTGAAAAAAGGTCTTTGATACATGACTCCCTCGCAACTCGATCCCCTACCGTCCAGTCTATATGCGCCGTCTTTTACCATTGCACCACCGAGTTTCTGATGCGATCCCTTGGAAGATAAACGCCTCGGACTGGAACTAATTTTGCGCGGACTTCAAACCCCGTCCAGTCCTCATTGTCGGACTTTAAACATTACTTAACACAATCTCCAGTGAGAAGCTGAAACGTTTAACGTTTACAATAACTGAAAATCTGTACAACTTATATATATACACCTACTTGCGAAAACGTTGGCATAGAAAATAGGACATTTGTATTTAGTAAAAAAGAAATAAATTAAAAAAGACAAAAGAAGATCACTGAGGCTGAATGCTTTCTTTTGTCTTGTTTTAATTTATTCCTTTTTACTAAATTCAAATGTTCTATTTTCTATGACAACGTTTCTGCTAGTAGGTGTATATATAAGTTATAATATATCCTGTACGTGCTATGCGCACATAGTACAAGTAAAACGTGTACAGGAAAATACGCCCACATTTGCCTCGGCCACGCCCAGCGCATAACTCGATGCAACTAACATACAATGTGTGTTAGTTGCATCGAGTAACTAGCTTCTAACTAAAAATCAATATAAATGAACAGAATCACGCCATTTCTTCACAAAGTCACTCAACAATAATGTTTTTTGAATATTTTTCTATAATTGGAGGTGGCAGAACAAAAAGGAAAACATTAAGGACTTTTCTTTGGACGTTAGTATCATGATGCATGATATCAGTGGAGATCAATGTGGGTTGTGTACTAACATTCAATTAATGATACGTCGAAAGCCCCACGTTAATGGGTTAATTGACGTCGGACACAGATTACTTTGGGAATTGTTGAATTAATACAAAACTAAGAGAAATTGAAAACAAAAGCGCAACCGGGAACAATGTGGACGTTTTTCTTTGTTTTTGCAAATATTTCATTTATTTTTGAAGATGTTGTTCGTTCGCAATAGTTTGGGCAGGTATGAGGTATGCACACCTATGCACTTTGAGACATGCATGATTCTATCTATAGTTTTCATCATTGTCAGCCGTACCATCACTCAGTTTGAGAATAATAATAACAGAATCGAATCTGAAGTTGAAAGTTTTCTCAGGTGAAAGTTTTTAGCAAATGAAAATAAACTTGCGTTGTGAAGATAAAGAGAAGACATTTCTGTTAGTAGATTAAAAGACGTACATATTTGTGTACGTTGGCGTACGTGATATTCCACTCGTAAAAACAATGAGCTCTTTTTTATATTGATTTTTATTTAAAAGCGGCGTAACTCGATGCAACTAACATACATTAGTTGAAGATACTAAACGTATGTTAGTTGCATCGAGTTATGCGCTGGGCGTGGCCGGGCCAAATTTTGGCGAGGTCGAGCGCGTAACTCGAAAAGCGCGTAACTCGAAGCGCGCAACTCGAAGATTACCCGATCCCTATATTCGCTTGATAAAAGCATCACTAAGCCCGGTCAGTAAGCTAGTTAAGCTCGTGGAATAATGAGTCTCTTGATATGTAAACTCGACAAAAAAGATACTTCATCTATAAAGTTTATCAACGAGGAGATGGCTGCGCTAAAATGGAAACCAGGTTTGGAAGACCTTGAATGTTATTTATCGTTGGACGATCCTGGAGTATACGTGGCGAAATTGGACGGTGTTCCTATTGAATCCGTGTGCTTTTATAAGTACAGTAGTACTTATTATTCATTTGGAATATACATTGTGAAAAAGGAATACCAAGGAAAGGGCTATGGAATGAAGCTATTTAACACCGCCATGAGTGAGGTAGATTGGTCACAGATTGTGTCTGCATACAGTGTTCCAGAAATGGTAAACAAGTACGCACGATACGGCTTTGAGTTTCGCTGGA